GCACGATCAAGTTCGCTCGGAAGCGCAGCGGGTCCGCGCCCGCTGCGCCTGTGGACAGCCTGGAGGACAGGTCGTCAAGGCTGGCGGTGGACACCAACAGCATCCCGTCCTCGTTCGCGAAGCCGGATCGCCCGCCAGGCGAGCGGCGGCGCCCGCGACCCCCGTGAGCCTCTGGAACGGCAGCGGCGCTGCCGTTGTCCACGCTTTCTGCGGCAGCCTCAGCGCCGTGTGCACATGCCGGATATAGACCGTCTGCAGAGCGAGTGTGGTCGGCCTGTTCGACAGCCTGCTCGGCCTCGGGCTGGTGCAGGCGCACCAGCGTGCAGTCCACGGACAGCGCCCGCCGGAGCCACGAGCGCAGCTCTTCGTGCTCCACGGACACCCCCCACTGTTCGTTGCACAGGACGCTCTTCCCGCACAGCCTGATGCACAGCGGACCAGCGCGACGCTCCTCAGCCGACGTAGAACTGGATGCCTCGGTCTCGCACCTCGATGAGTCATGAAGGTGTTCGCCTCTCCGGGTGGTCGTCGCTGGAAGCTCCTCGTCGATGGACACGCAGATGGGCGGGACGCCCTGTTCGCGCGACCGCAGCGTGAGCGTTCGCGCCGTCAAGTCGACCTGCGGCCTGATCAGGACCATACGGGCGTGGGACCGCAGCGTCATGAGCCTGCCGCGACCGTCCACAAGGGCCCAGTGCCGGTCGAACAGGAGGCCACCGGGCCCAACGGGCCACGACTGCACCTGCTGGGCGCCACAGGACTTCACCGGATACAGGAACAACTGCTCCAGTCTTCCCCTGCTGCACGGTCTGACGGCTGATGTACTCTCCCCATTGGCGCCAGATTGTGCGTGTGCGGCCTGGCGAAGTGCTTCAATAGATGGAGAATTCACGATGCTGGCCTCCTCAGGACTTGATGGGCAACCATCCCCCCTCGCATTCAACCTTTGCCTTGGACAGCCGTCCCCAGCGAGCTCGGTAGCTGCTTGCAGCAGGGTAGGTGTCGGTCTCCATTCTACAAAGGGGGCAACACCCTCGCTCTGCTGGGCCTCCGCTGTGTTGGGCGCACGATCCACAAAGTGTTTTGTGCACTCATTTTGGCACGGCCCCGCTGCCCCTATCTCTGCTTCGGAATGGACAAAATAAGTTGTTATGAATGTCAAAAATCTGTAAACCTCCTCGAACGACGTAGAATAGCCAATGGACACTCGGACTACACCTGTGGGAACGCCATCTACAAGGTCAAAGTCGTCCCCACATATGTGGCCAGCTTCGTAGTTTCCAATTATGGATTGGAAGGTAAGGCCCAGGGCTTTTGAGCAGGCACCTGCCGGAAGCAAAAAGTCAACAAGTCATAACCAAGCACTTTCCTCACACAGCAGAGTCCAAGTCCAGTTAAAGGCCTCCCCACTCCAGTTTGCCGACCAGCAAGCTATCCGCAGTGCAAACTCTACACTCAGCAAACTGGCGCAGGCTGCTATGATCAGCAAGCAATTCACAATATGGAATCGCCACAGGCACCCTGCTGTGCATCACTGCAAACTCTTCAGCAAAACAATAAAGAGACAGCAGGAAACATGGTGGCATTTACCGCTGCTGTTTCATCCCCAATCTCATAGTCCATACCACCTACCTGGATTGCAAAAACATCCTGTCCTGATATAAATGTTGTTCAGGCGTGCAAGCCTCTCCACCTCCCTATACCCTACCCAAGAGCCATCGTCATGCAGGAGGTTAAATGCAACTATTGGGCCCATCTTGGGCTTCGAGGCACCATACAGGCGGCACACGGGCTTGTTGTTGGCATGCTTCAGCTCTACCAGCTTCTGCGAGAGCCAGGTGGCAAGGCTTGTGGTGTGCAAGTGAATTGCTGGAAACCCTCCAAGACTGGCCAATCTGGACATACATGCATGCAACTAAACGTGAGCTACAGTGGTGCACAGCACAACGCGATGCCAAATATCCTATTTTGGCCAAATCAGCACAACCACAACCATCAACCATTTCTTGTGTGAGCTTCATCCGGCTTGCAGCACACAGCCTCAATCTCTGTTTCCACCAAACGGAGGGGAGGCCATTCGGCAGTGTGTTCATGCATATGCTAGATCGTTACCTCTTGAACCCATGCTTCAATGATGCAATGGCTATGAAGTTTGGGGTGCCATGCTCCCAGGCAGCACCACCAGGCCGCCTGCAAACATATATTTCAACGTCTTGCTGGTCAATCTCTCAATATCAGAAATGACAATCTGGCAAGCAACATCTGCGCCTATTCCTCCAAGCAGTCGCAGGCTATACTTTGCACGCAATCAAACACATCACAGAAAGGCCATTGCCACCGCTCTTGGCTAAGGCTGGCATGTCCCTATGGTGCAGACACAGCCATTGCAGTCGAACACCAAAACAACAAATGAGTGTAGTAATGGCCCACAGCATCAGAACAATGAAAGCCATATTCTCAAGATTTCTACATCACTGTTTTTCTAAACAGTGCAGAGAAGCTTGATTTTGAAGTCATTGTTAACAATATCCTACTGGAGGGAACACAAGCTTGAGTTCAAATGCTGCCAAGACAAGTGAACAAATTTCAGGACACCATCAGGACACTAACAGTGGTTTTCATGCCATGTCTGTTCCCAACTTGCGTTGCAGCAGTTTGCAATCATTGCGCATGGTCCCGCATGCCACACATGTGGGCATCAAAGCAGCCTTGCTTACCGTTTCACAAAGGTTGACTCAGCAGCCACGGCCTCCAGAGTCCCACCACCAAAATACCCATGCTTCAACACCTTCAGAGCACATTTCCTTGCGACAAGGGCTCCAAGGCCAGTTGGATACCCAAAAATCTTATAGAATGAGAGAGCAACAAAATCTGCAGGGTGCTTGGTCAAATTGGGAGGCATTGTTGCACATGCTTTGGCTGCATCGAGGAGGACGAACCACTTTTGACTCCCCAGGCCAGGGACCTGGCTTTCCATAGACGTTACAAGGCCCCCAATTTGCACTTGATCAATTATCCCAGCATCATAACATTCTCCATTGAAATTAGATTCTTGTGGAAGTGCAAAAAGACATTGCCCAGCAGTGGGCACCTTCCTACACTGTTCTTGAGTGTGGTGCAATGTTGGTCCACATGGAGGAAAGCACCATCCACCTGGAAATGCAAAATCAACTATTCATATTTAACTGCTGGAAATACCCTCACAAAGTGACAATCATCAGGCGTGAATGCTGTTCTAACGATGAGAGATCCAAACGGGCTGGCCAATCACACTGCAGTGTAAATTGTGAAAAGTCAGTGTTGAATGTGCACAACTGGAACAGTTTGTGCAGTGCAATCCAACTGAAATAGCGAATCGGGCACTCCAGTCTTAAGTTGTGCAAAGTCAGTGTTGGCTACGCATGTCAGGAGCAGCCGTTGCAGTGCTTCAACTCGAGCTCTCAACTACAATGGACTCATAGGAGTCATCCTGCTGATTCCGACCATCAAATACACACATGCTGCTCTGCATGTTGACATTCACTGTTTATAAAAACTCTCTTCCATTGTGCCCCACCTTTCGAGTGCTGTTCCACATCTACCGCAAGCACAATAGCACCTGCTTCTAGTGCCAAATGTCTGATCCCCAGAACACTGTTGTGGTTGTCCCTAGTGTATGCAAACAAGCTCGACGGGGACCAGGGAAAGGCTTCGCCCACCTGTCAAACAAGAGCGAAAGTTGACACAATAAACACCAAGTCCAACCAAACACTACAATAGGCAACAGAAATCAGGTAAAATCAGCTCTCCTATGGGTAACAAACCGATGCATAAGTCACTCGATCTGCACAGATGGATCCTGCAGCCCCCACTGACAGCACTCATTAGTAACATCAGGGATTTGGACACCTTACATTGGTGCAGTTGAATGACGTACCAATTTGAGGGCTTGAGTTGCCCCTGAGGTGAAAATGACATCATATTCGTTGCGTTGGGCTTGGCACAAATTAAGAGTCAGGAGGCGCGCCTCTTCATAGACGTCAGCCCTTGTGTCGGAAGCTCCCATCGAACTATCAACGAGCAAGGCCACAACCACATTACACGGGCCCAAACTCTGCATGCGTTAATTCATGCATTGGCGAAGGGCAACACTGCAATACCAGAACAAAAATCGGAGCAAGCCAGCCAGTTCTTAACCAGCAAACAATCAGTGTGCCCAACAACGCGCACCGCTCCTGCAGGGCTTTCGTACGGGCTGGACTTTAGTTGTTGATTGGTGTGCTTGGACTGTTCAATTCTCGCCATTCTAGCGTGCCAAGCTTCGCGTGGGGATTACCACCGACAGGCACCGGCAATCCAGCTTCCAGGTTCAAGTGAGAATTTTCCCCCAACGGAAGACAATACACCAACCGCAAGAATGGCACATCTTTTTCGCGACCTGCTACGAAGATACATTCCCCATTCTGCACTAAACGCAGAGGAGAAACAGGCCCCTTGCAGGACCATCGGCTTGTTGAGCTACCAGCTGGCAGCGAGACAAGCCAGCCATCATAACTGTCCATCCCACGCGGTGTACTGGAGGAAAATTGGAAAATCAAGGTGAGAAGTGCCAACGTGACCCTGAAAAAGCCAGAAGATTTGTTACCTGTGGGGATTGGTGAGCACAGACACCTTGAGGTCTTCGAAAACATCTCTTAATAGGCTGTCGGAATACGGCACCGCTCCGGCGTGGTCCAAATACACGGCGCCCTGCAGGCGCGAGAAATCGTTCTTGACTTCCCCGATGCGACCAGAGTAGCCGTAGCTGTCGCTTTGCGTAGCCAGGAACTCGCGAAAGGCGCGTTGCAACCCTTCCTGCATCGCGGTGGGAGACGTCCGTGGCTGTCTGAATGGGCCTTGAGCGAATGTCGGTTCAGGTACTTGTGGCATACAATCAGGACAGGAAAGAAAGGGCCGTAATGCACTGCGCCATGTATTAAAAACCTGCCTTTCACGGAGGAAAAGGTTGGCCAACAACTGAGCAAACAGCGATGGAAAACATTACTGGCTAAATTGAGAAATTGGACCTGGGTCACAGAGTCCAGCAACAATCGCTATGTGTCGACTCTCTCATTCAGGGCTGTCATTCGTGAAACACTGCAAGCACAGCGGTGAATTGTATCCACGCTTATGAAGTGGAAGAATCATTGCACACGCAGGATGGACAAAAACATGCATAGCTGCTGTGGCGGTGATTCGATTGTCAACCTGTTCGAATTACCAGTAATTGACCACTGATTGCCTCCGTCAATTACTGATTTGTAATCCGATGATTAAATGGTGGCATATGAGAATCCCGTTTCAAGGAATGCCATTAACAATATCTTTGAATGGCTGTCAACTTTTCTCGATGTTTCACGTGCAATTTTCCAGTTCCCAGGACTGGATGTCGGTGGCTGAACACTGATGTTCAGTGAAACTCAATGAGAGAAGCGAATACAGATTAAAGAGCCAGTTTGAAGAGATGAAGGTCTGACACACCAAGACAGGCGCAGCTGCCATGTTGTGCAAGCACCTGTTCATGCGCTGGCTGACTGGTGCACACATTGACCTGATTGAGATGGCGGGAGGACGGCTGGCCAACAATCAGCTTCAATCCTACTAATTTGGTGATCGTGAGTTGGTACTATGAGTTGGAACTGTGGATCGGTGCCGTGTGCCGATGCTATGGGTCGGTGCTGTGGGGTAGCGTGTTGTGTGAAGTGTGAGTTCAATCCAACGTTCTGAGTGTGAGTTCTGATGGGCGAAAGAAGAGGCGCATTCTGGTACTTAAAGAGAGCCAAGAGAGCCTGTCGTGGTTTGGTTGTAAAACAAGTTGAGTCTTGGCTGCTTGTCCGGCCATGCACGGCGAGTGCATGTGAGCACCGCGTGCACCAAGGTTGCCACGGAGGTCGAAGCAGAGGGGCTCGACTTGTGCTGCGTTGTGGCCCATCGCTGCGCGCATTCGATTGCGATGAGCGGGATCTCGAACTGGGATGGCTAAGGAACCTTGACAAGCCGGGAAGGACAGATGAAACATAGACTTGCACCACAGGAAATTGGACATCTGTTGCATTATGGAGTCAGCTCCCTTCAACTCGACAATTTCAGCCATGCCAACTGCAGCGGAATGTCACAAAATGCCGTTGTTGATGTCGCACATTCGAATTACTGCATGCCTTGGAGTAGGGGCCAAGTTCGGTGCAAATTTGCTGGGCGAGGACCGAAAACACCAAACTTGACCAACAGGCACACCACTTCGAGTGATTCTCTTGTGTCTCCATGGAAGGTACACGAACTCCGTACTCATTCATAATGCACAGGGCAATCGCCAACAGGTTGGGGAAACTAGCGGTACGTCTCGTGAACACCAAGGGTGATGCGGTGCGGTTCCGCCTCTCCGCCGATCTGACCACCAAATTGGATTTCAGAACTCTTGAGATTCAATTTTTTTTTCTCCTGGGCGCCCAGGAGCCGGTGAGCACCGGGAATCTGGCCAGATGGAACAACTCACGTTGCGAAGGCTTGATCTTTACTTTTATGGTTCCATTTTTGCGTTCACATTTTTATGCATAAAAACGCGGGATAGGTAAACGGCCATTTTCACGGCCATATTTACCCATATTTACGGCTCGTCGATACGCCCAGGTTACATGATGATGTCCCAAACAAGGATGATTTCTCCACCCGTTGAACACCGGCAACGCAGCACCCACCTCGCCCTCGGCAGGGGCAACGATGTTGTCGAGAAAAAGGTCGTTACATGAACATTTTAGCTCGTCTATATGACAATCCCCGGACTCCTTGAGCCGGTATGTACTGTCTTTAGGTGCATAAGGCCCACTTTGACGCATTTTGCGCCTATTTACTCGTAAAAGCGCAAAAAACATTCTTACGCATAAACAGACGTATATGGGCCGTAAATACCAAGCATGGCATCGTGCAACGCGCAATTAGAAGGTACTGAGTCTAGAGAAAATGGATTCAAACATAGAATTTGAAATATTTGAATTTGGCGCATGAATTCTGTCCCATGAGTCAAAATGCCAAACGGACATGAACAGGGACAAGCGACCAGAACTCAATTGTAATCAGAATTTGCGCGCTTCCCAACAGTTACCCGTACTGGCCCTCAGGGCCGTCCAAACGTCGCCTGCCACGAGCGCAAAGTTCGGATAAGACCTGGAGGCCGTATGAAACATGAATTGGATAGCCCGTCTAGGACGAGACGTCGCGCTAGCTGTTATCACAAGTCCATTTATTTGCATTCCGTCAGTACATGTGGGAAGCTAAGAGTGACCACATTTTTTTCATTTCAGTTATCGATTGAAAAATCGCCATTTCCGGTGTTGATGTAAAACCCCGGGCTGCTTTATTCCTTTCATGTTGTAATCGGCTCACAACTGGCTGAGTTTTGGCTAGCAAGGTGAGTGGCGGGAGTCGATACATGGTGAGTATGTGAGATACGGCCCTAATGTGTGCCTTCTCCTGTGATCAAATGACGAGTGATCGCTACCACAGATCGCACTCTGGACATGCGCAATCACACAAGCGTTAACTATTGTGCGTGCATTTTCATAATTCGATCCATCACTGGACCATGGCTTGTACCGCGACACCGCGCGAAAGCATCGCCATAACAGGTACTATCCGCCCTGCCAAAGATGCAGGCTTTAGGACATGGGCCCACAGTCGTGCGTACGAGACCGATCGCCCTTTCTGCGCTAGTTGACGAAGCAGTTGAGCGAGCCCCGCAGGTCTACTGGGATGCAAGCGACAAAACCGCCAAGTTCCAGACCAATACACTTCCTGCCTCAGATCCATCCAGGGTACTAGGATGCCGCCATTCTACTAGGATGCATGTGTATGTCTCTCTCCTCTGTACGATTGACCCAATTTGATGTTTTGGCTTCCGTCAGGTACTGTTTGGCCTATCCCCACGCACCATCGCCCTGGACACATCAACTTTGCTCTTTAGCTTCCGCGCACCGCAAACCGCCCCCGTCGCCCTCTCCTGGCAGGCAACATTGCATGTCCTGTCCTCCGCGCCATTTAGATGCCCAAAGCGCCCCCCCAAAAGCTCGCGGGGATAGCATCTCCCGACTCGCAAAGCCAGGTTTGGCTGGCCTGACGCAGGATGAAGGTGCGGGCATCACACTTGGTGGCCTGTACGACGTTTTCAATGCATACTTAGTCCTGCGGCCCAAGCGACAGAACAAGCGTGATCGCAAGTGCCGCTTCACGCCCTGTATTCTGTTCACCTGAGAAGCAAAGCATCAGCGATAATGTGTAACATGTGTGCGCCCACACAATGTGATTCTGCCTAACTTTGGCGCACCATTGTGGGTGTCCGGCTAACCACGCGCAATCGCGCCTGCACATGAGTACTTGTCGGTGATTGTGTTGCTTTTTCCATGACTCGAAAGCCTACCCAAAAAGCAAGCTACTCTTGCGAAGTCAAATCTTCTGATTTTGCCATGAATCTGCCCTCCTCCCACCACCAGTGTTGCTCCCTCCTGGGGATTTCGTGGCGCTTTTGCTCCTTTTCACCACATTGCATTTTTTCAACTTTTATCACTTTCAGCCATTCTGCACTTTGTGCGTACATTCGAATCCACGTAATGCACCTACAGCCAAAAATATGCCACTTGTTGGTGAATTGTCACCGTTTCTGTAGTTGCACTGGTGGCATACTCGAGACACCCATGCAGTAATTGCTTCATGGTCATAGCCCATCTGGTCGTTTCCCATGGCGCGCAGACATCCAGTCGAGCACCAAGCATGCGTAAATGTCCTGAACCCATGCAAGGCATTATACAGCTCACCAAAACAACGCATCTTGTGTATTCAGCCAAAGCCAGAATATTCAGTTTTGTTGGAATCCTTTGCATCGAATCCCCAACCAACAGGGAAGACAGTTAACCCGAATATATAATTGGTAATAAACACGGCTGTGATTTGCTTGACGTGCGTACAAAGAAATCAATACCAGTTGTCACATCTTCTCTATCATAGAGCAGCATCGATGCTACTGAATACATAATTCAATGCTTGTGTGACAAGCTCCGGCTTCGCATCAGATTGCATCTTCTGGTGTCGTAGACTAGGATATCTGCCACACAGCTTGTACCAAATTAAAATTGCACACAAGTTTTCGCTCCTGCTTATGTCCATCGCCTCATCGCACCCTGTATTGTGGCGATGGCTCGAGATTGTTTTTGCACAAGGCCGGGATTCTTGTGCTCTGAAAAGAGATGTACAAGTGATTTGAAGTCAATTAGCAGCTTGAGGAGTGCTTCGAAAGGTTGTTGAACCATGAAAGTGTTTAAAGATTGTTAGGCAAATGTTCTCGGCATTGGCTGTGTGATGTTTGCCGAGATTCATGGTCGACCAGCTGGAGTGTAGCCGGCGCTGATAAATTCGGTGTGGCAACTCGCAAGCAGCGTCCTTGCAGTATAATGCAATTGCTAAGACATCTCGCGACTCTGCTGCATGGAAGCACAATGTTCAGAGCTGGAATTTTTCCAGAGGTCAACGTGTTCCACGCGGCTTGTTTACATTACAGTAAACCTGATGCCAATGTACCATAATTTTGGTAGAGTCGCTGGGCCTCAAGGCAGTTTAGACAAGGACCCGCCGGGAGAAGATGATGAACATTCCATCCAAGATATATGTGTTGATGGCGCGATTTGGGTATCTTGGGAGACGGCGTGAGCATGAAAGAGTAATGGTTCCTTGTACTTCGAAGTATAAGCGCCTCTGGAGCGGTTGTGGGATCAGAAAGACATGGTGGAAGCATTGTTGATTGTCATAATTATGTACTTTGTTGCTGCAATCCCTGTAGTGCGGACTGCAGCAGTGAGCACCGTGGATGCTCTCATTGTTGTGGCTATGAGCAGGGAAAGGCTCTGAATGGATCCGCATAGATCGGTGGAATTCATGTGAGTTGGTTTGCTCCTGCCCCAGTCCACCTGTCGTTGCGGCAGCTGAATCACGAGCTCTGCAATCGCAGTCTGCAACACTCCGGTGCATTGAGACTCTCGATTCGAGAGAGTTGCATCGTTCTGCCATTGCCTTCCAGGGCAAGGGCGCCTTCCTCCAACAAGAGAAATGTGGCCCAAGCACCCCAGCCGCAAGGGGGCCCGCAGCTCTACCGTTCGCAGCGAAGAGGGCAACGAAACAATGGTCGGGCTACTAAGTGTTCAAGGACAGCCACGAAGATAACCTTGAGCGCTGGCCCATCAACGCGCGACACAGTCCCGGGAGCCGCCTCGTCGCTTCCCACGACCCGGAGTGTCACTCAGCCTCGCTTCTGCACACGGAAGGCGTGCGGGATGCGGCGAAAGCACTCCAGCGTCACGGACTTCCGAATGAAACGAGCCTCCGCGGCGAGTGCGCAGTACATACAGCGCGTCGCGCGGGCATGTGGTGGGACGCTCATTTCCATGCAGGCAGCTGCTGCCCTCTGAGTAAAAACGCCCCAGCCCCGTGTACAGCTGCGCCCCCCATCCCGCTCCCCTCCCGCTCATCTCGGTGTGCTTAAACGCGGCACCCAGATGCCCCGCCACTGGGTTCACTTCGGAGCGACGCGGCGCTCCCCTGGTCGGGACAGCGTGCGGCCTCTGTCGCCCGCCCGGGGGAGCCAACTGGAATGCGGAACCCAGGCGCTGCACGCCGCGACTGAGGGCCGCGCGACAGCCCTCGGGACTGGGGGCCTGGCCCCAAGGGCCGATCGCCACTGACACATCCGTGCAGTGGATCTCCGTCCGGGCGGCTCGGGGCGCCTAGGCGGGGAGTGGCCCGGCCGGAGGGGAGGACAGGAGTCGGCGGGGCGGTGGGGAAGGAGAGCCGCGGAGGAAGGCGGAGGAGGGCGGGAACGAGATGGCGAGTTTTGGGGTCGGGGAGAGGTTCCAGGGGAGTGCGTCCTCGACGCCAGGTGGGCGGGCGGGGTGGGGTAGGGGTTGGGGGGTGCCCGCGCGGCCATCGCTGGGGTGGGTGGATGCGGAGATGGGCTGTCCGAGGGGTGACGAAGATGCGTGCGCGTCGCAGGGCCCGGCGCGTACACACCCAGGACGAAGGATGGCCTGCACCCCTTCGCGATTCCCGAGCTGAAGAAGGGCGGACTGCGCAGCGCCAGGCGCTCCAGTGGGAGCTTCCAGGATGCAGGTGAGTGTGCGCACTGGGGCCGGGGTGCGCAGTGGCCGCCGGCCCTTGGCGGGATGCGCGGCGGTTCTGTGGAGAAAACCTGGACGTCGTGTGCGGGCCGGGGCCGATTGGGGGCGATCGCGCGGCGGCAAGGGACGCATCGCGGGGCTGGGGAATGGATTTAATCGCGAGCCCCCGAGCGGGGTTTCAGTGCGAACGGATTGGCGACGGATTGCTCGGGATCGTGGAGGCCCGAAATACACGTGCGCCCTCGCATGTTGTCGATCGATCTGTTGTGGAGGGGCAGTGCCGCGGCCGCAGTTAACATCGCACTGCTTAGCAATTTTCGGCGATGAGCTTCTGTTAAGCGCTGCCGGAGGCGGTGTTTGGTGGGCTCTGCCAGGTGATGCAAGGCTGGGCGCTGCCTCCACCAGGCTGGCGCAACTGTCTCCAAGGGGGCGCCGTCAGCACACGAGCGCGCCGAAAACAAACTCGCCGAGGTGCTCCGGCCCTCGTTGCATTGCCGTTTGCAAAGCGGGCCACAGGGCCGCAGGAAGGCAGGCTGCAGTATCTGCTGAATGCGTTCACAGCCTCCCAGCGCATAAGTTGAGGGGCGGCCCCGTGCTGTGCCGGTCCTTCTTGGTGGCGGGTGGCCTCTTGTTGCCACTGCAGAACAGGCCAAAATATTGGACAGTTGTGCGGTGGGAAAGTGCACCCTGAAACTGATGAGCGTCCGAACTTCAGGAGAAAACGAAGGTGCAATAAGCTCACTGTGTAGGACAAGATGTGTGCTGCAAGCGCGATGCACCTTATTGTGTTATTTGATACTTTTGGTAAAGGCCTGGAGGACGCTAGCGTGTGAATTCTCATTAGTAGATTCCTGTATTGAGCAGACAGCTTTGCAGCCAGGTGGCCATGTTTCATGCATCTTTGCCCTGTCAGCAATTTTGGCCAGCCTGAATCGATCCGCTGTGGTTTAAGCTGGATAACCATAGTTAAGCAAAGGCCAGATGCTGGTGTATGTTTGCCTTTGGCCTCGACCAACGCATAGCCTGCGCATTAAGGGCAGGCTGCTGCAACCTGAGCGGTGCCAATCCAAACCCAGCCAGTCAATTCCATGGGCACGGAAGGTAGAATTGACTTGTCAAGCTGACAAACAGTCACCCAAAAAAATTGTGCTGTGTTGGCAGTGCATCTCGCATTATACCTCTTGCTCGAAATGCGATCACCAGCCTCAGATCTTGTGCGGAACCTCAACTTAGATGCCCACATACTTCTGTTGTTTGTGTGAATGTGGGCACAAAATGCTGGAAAGTCACAGAGCTGATCGCCGTGTCGACTGCAGCACTGTGCAGCTCTGAAATTCTTGCAACTCAGTAGCTTGCCTGCTGACGAAGCTCACACATTTTGTGCAATATCATTGAAGTGATGTTGCAACACAGAGCAGTACATAGCGATGGTGCACTTTGAGTCTGTCTCGTTCTGCTCAGTGCACACAAGGTACAGTCAGCCCAATAATTTACTACAGAGCAAGACCCAAGTAAACCAAACAGTCACCAAGCGCCACACAGTTTGGTCCCATATCCACTGTCCTTCTCCCTTTTCCACCAAACAAGTTGTGTGTGCCAACGTGCATATCGTCCACTGAATCTCCGATGGAGCAGATGGTAGTTTTCTGTGTTGTGTGTAAGAGCACAGGTTGTCCTTCAGTAATTGGTGGCCCTGAACTTTGACTTTTGTATCCCTTGTGCCTGGTAGTCTATTTTTTGGCAGGTGTTTGTCAGCCTGCATATAAATTTGCAGTCTGTAGCAAGTGACAAAGGAGTGTCACTTGATCGATTGAATCTGGCTTTGGTGCACCACCCAGCTGAGAAGAAAGCAGCAGGACCCTTCAGTGCACGACACAGGCGTACATGCTCTCATGACTCAGCATTTTCTGCGTTCAGCAACAGGACCACTCCCAGGGTATGTTAAGATACGTTGCTTGGGAATCTGCAGTGCGAGAATGTCCCAGTTGTTTCCATTTTGTCATGTGTTGTGCCTTCTTGCACTAGATGTTGTTGTCTGTTGTCCTGCTGTTTGGTGGAGTGAACACTGTGCTGGACAAGACAAGCCTAAGCAGTTGCGTTTGTTGTTTGTCAAATTTGCCCAGCAAGTGTCATTGTTCCTGTCACCCTTGTGGGATGGTTTGTCTTCATCGCTGTTTTTGATTCTCAGTTTGGTCCTTGCAAACGTTGTCTCCATCGCTTGGTTATCTGTTCAGCTGCAAAATGTTGGAGCCATCAGTGATGACGCGCACGGCAGCTCAATAGCGTGCATTACTTCCTCTAACTGCCATGTGTATTTGATCGCGCATTTGCAGGGCACAGATTGTGAAACCATGAATCCCCCTCATGAAAAGATAGCCAGCATAGAAAAGAAACCCCACAGTGGGGTGCGGCAGCTGAGCAGGATACGCCAGGAGAAAAAGGGGGTGCAAGATAAACTGAGCGAACCAAGCAACCACTCCAGCAAGGTATCTTGAAGAATTGTAGTGGGTTCGATGTGCAATGGCTCAGTGAGCTTGCGCATTTCCCAATCTGCAACAGCTTGAGCTTGTAAATTGGGATCCTTGGCAGAATCTGCTGATTCTACTGTACCTATGAGTGTGCTGTATGCCATGGCTATGGCACACCACATCTCACGTCTCATTGTGGAACCTGCGCCAGAGAAATTGTGTGAATAGAAGAACTTACCATGGTTGCCAAGGCTGCCAAGGTTTGGGGTACCAGTGGTCCCTCGAGAGCCACCCAGTCGTATGTTTGGAGAAGCCTATTAGGTCGTGATGCCAGGTAGGACATTCTGGCGGTCCTGCTAGCCTTCATTTGGGTGGCAACTGTTCGGAGCTTGACATGGAGGATCTTGGGAACATGGTTTTTGACTGGCGGAGGAACACCATAGCATTGAATTCATGGAGTGGATTTGATAACACATGGGTGGTAGCACATGCACAAGATAGTGCGAGGGAACTTGTGCATTTGTGATCCATATGACATGACCACCCCCCCACCCCCCACCACACCACACCCTTGTGCGGTATGTAGCAAACCTTCCACATTGCACAACACCAGCCAGGTTCATGTATGCCAGGGGTGCTATTTTAGACCTCCAGCACTGTTCAACCTCCCCTGCACGGTATCCTCCATGATCTGCAGAACTTGAGTACATTATATGCACTTATTGTGGACTGGCCAAGGAAGTTCCATTTTTCCTGCTTTGTCCTTGAGACTGCAGTGGTTCAGGATTGCCATATTCCATGCAGCCATGCTTATAATTGTTTGCAATTGCGGTGCAGATACCGCCAAGAAGGATTGCAGTAGTTGGCAGTCAGTTGGGCACAAGGGCAAGTGCTCTGCAAAGCACAGTTGGTATGTGTGCCACAGGCATCGTGCTCGTTGATTAATGTGCTCAGAGTGCCAGTGTAGTTGTTGTGTGGTTGCTGTCCGCGGCCATGGATCCCACTCTGAACATAGCATTCTCCCCTTTGCAGATTCTGTGTGCTGTCAAGCTTCTGAGATCGAAGCAAGGCGTGCAGCGCTGAGAAACAACTCTTGCCAGTCCTCGAGCTTGCTGCTGGACTCACAGGCACCTCTGCCACAAGTCACGGTGCAGGCTGGGAAACCCCAAAGCATGGGGCATGCGGAGCCTGCTGAGTCCAAAAGAGTTCAAGAGTTGGAAAGAGAACTGTCAAGACAGAGAGCAGCATTGAAGGCTGCCAACGATGAAATCTGTCGTTTCAAGGCCATCTTGAGTGCAAGGGTAACTGCTGCGAGTTTTGTGGCACCTTGTATGCTTGGGAAATGGATTGACATGCGACCAATGGTGCTGTTATGCGCACATCTCTGCACAAAATTTGGTTGTCTGTTGCTGTGTGTGTCCAGTGATTAGGTTGTCTCTGTATACAGTTTCGGTATAATAGCAAACCACAACTGACAACGTTAGGAAGGGAACTTCATGCTGCTGTTGTTCTGTCAAACAGGATGATGCAATAGGACAGCTGAAGGGCTGGCTGTCCCGAGCACAGCAAATACAGCAAGAATGTCAACAGCAGTTCCTGGCAAGTCAGAGCAGCGCATTGACGATGCCATCGGAGAATAATTGTAGGTCAGAAGACTCAAGCCCTGTTGCGTATGCATCAGAGGCGTCGACTAGGATCGAGGGAACAGAGGATGACAGATTGCTGGCAGAGCCAAATGATGACCAGGAGGTGTGGGAAAATGTGGATCTCAGCCAATTGCGGAGTGTTGCTTTGTGTGAGTGCATGTGTGTATGTGTGTCTGTGTGTTTCCATTTCTGGGTTCAAATATACAGTAGTTATAAGTCCACAGTGGCTTTCACTTGAGAAATCTTAGATCATTGCAGAGGCTGCAGTTCAAATTTCCACAGATGCAAGTATGCTTAAGTGCAATTTGCACATTCTGAAGCACCTGCACAGGCCATGCACTCTTACCAACTGACTCTGAACACATTACAGTGGTGCCTGTGTCCCCATCATCTTCACAGGCAACCTTGGATCGTATTGCATTGATGCCATGATGCTTAATTCATGTGGGCAATAAGATACTGTACTGATGCCTTTTGAACGGGATGCTATTGTCGACACAGAATAATCTGTACTTCTGTTGGTGCAACAAAGGGCTGCATATGCGTGCACTGACCTCTATATTTTAACCGCACTCTTGGCGAATGTGTTTCAGGAGAGCCAGGAGTTGGATCATAAGTCAAGCGCCGCTGACACAAAGGTTTCTGCTCAAGCACGGGCTGCTGACAACGTTAAGGCTGCACGACTGAGGAATGTTGTCAGGACCTCATTCACCATAGTGTCTTCATTGGCAGAACAGATGGGTACAACCGAGGTGAGGCATAATCATCTGTGCACTTGATTTGTTGTCTGATGGATAGTTGCCTGTGCTGTGGATGCATCGTGTTTGGCAGAAATTCGTGAAAGGAGGAAAAAATAATGGTACTGCACAAAGTGTCTTTGTTCATCCTTCGTTCCAGGGAACTGAAAAATGCAGCAACAGCACAACATCTTTGCAGATACATCGACTGCTGTGCTCCCTGGGTGCCTTGTTGCACTTGTTTCGTATCCTGCTGATGATCAAGATTTGCTTTGCAGCACTGTGCTTGCAAGTGGATATCTGCTGTGTTGTTCCAGAATGTTTCTAATCCACTGGTAACACAGTTGCCACATGTTTGTAGCTCATGTTGGCATGGTTTTTCCCACTTGGTCTGACATGGAGGCACAAGACCAGTGACTGGGCTCCATATGCATATATCATACAGCAACAGTCCTTACCAAAGCTGTGCAACCAGCAGCAAGCCTGTGTGCTGACATCATGTTGCATTATTTGCTTCCATTCTCATCAAACTGGTGGATGAATCCATTTACTGTTATGGAGCATTTCCATGCCATACTGTACCACTTATCTTGCAGCACAAGCTTCTGAATGAGGAGCCAGCGACAGCAGTAGTGAGACATATTGGTTGTTCCCACAGGTGCTCGCTGCTGAGTCACTGCTTGCAGATGCTGTTGCTTTATCAGATTGTCTCGAGCAAGCTTTCTCAAGGCAGCGGAATGAGTCATCCTCTTCGCCCAATGGCACGGCTTGCACAAATGCAGATTCGGGGGTATCAGGCTTGACTGGTGTGGCCTGTGAGAGCAGGTGTGAATGCGGATGCCTACAATTGTGTGTTGCATAAAACAACTGCATGCTGTCATGCACAAAGTTCATGGTTTGTGTTGGCACAGAATCTGAAGTCCTAGGTCGCAGTTGAGCTGCTGGCAAGGACCTGCGAATTGCTTTATCAGCTCAAATTTAGTGTACTGTACAGACAGCAGGAGTTGTGTATTACCTTGAGAGTTGGCCTTTCTTGCACACTGCATAGGGGGAGGGAACAGTGACCATTTGTGCCAAGAAGACCATGTTTGTGTGATAGAATGGAGGACATGATTTCACAGCAGCACTCTGTGTAGGTTCAGTTCATGTGGCTGAATGCAGTTTGTGACATCCAGAACGACCCAACAAAGTGGTCAATTGTGTGTTGGACATGACAACCACAGTGAGTGCAGACAATTTCATGCAAGGCAAAAGCAAGAATTGGAAGAGCTGCACAAGGATGTCTCCGTGCTGCTGAGAGAGAAATTCAAACTTGAGCAATGCATCCGGTGAGCCCTGTGTTGTTGCATGGATTGGGACACCACTGCACAGAACACAATACAAGCTGCAGAACACAACTCACCAGTTTTAAGCATGCAAGCATCCACATTCTGAAGTATGCAACTCACATGCCCTTGGTAAACTTTGAAGTGAATGTGCTTGCTGTCAAGACATTTGATGTTTGCAGGTTGTACATGCCTTAGAATGACCCACACCACCTAGTACCAACTACATATGCAGAAAACAAGCATATGCCCACTCATAGCTGCATTTTCTGCCATCAGAACTGGGTGACAAGAGTGCTGCTGGACAAATGTGTTATTGGGGGCATCTGAGGATATGGATTTGCACCTGCCTTGCTTGCTGCGACAACAATTTTATGTTGCATGCACTTGAGTTTTGAGTGTGCACCTGGAGACCATCGATTGCCACCTGCACTTTGTGTGAAGTGGCACCTCTGCACAAGCACCCAAAGGGCATGTGCGCATGCTTGGCCTTGAAATTTGACCCTCTGTGTAGTGTGGTTTTGTTCACTTGTTCTTATATTCATTTGCTTTACTCAGCATTCACTTATTGGTAAAGGTTTACTGAGTGCACAAAGACTGCACAGCTTGGCTCTGGTTTGAATCATAAGACACAAATAGTAGTGCAGTGAAACATGGTGGCCAGTGGCTTAACATCATTGAAGTCCAGAAGGACATGTTGTGAAATGGACATTTTTGTAATAATGACTTCTGCTGCATTTGTTGCCTGCCTGTAGGTATCTTGCCGCCCGCTGCCAACTTTACCAAGGATATTGTGTGGGCGAGGATGTCAGTGGTCAGGGGGCCCAAAGAGCTGCCCAAGAAACCCGGCCAGGTTCAGCACAGAGCAGTGGCTCTTCTTCTGTTGCGTCGAAATCACGCAAGACGATTGGGAGAGGGGTGGCAGCTAAGAGACGCAGCACAGGGTGCAAAAAGAAATTGGTGAGGAGTCCTTGCTGCACTGTCTTGTCTCTCTTCCTGCTGGTTGTTGGTGGTACCGAGTAGGAGGGAAAACTTCTTGTTGAATGAACAGGATTCTGTGATGTGGGGTGCCAGTCTGCAGCTGCATTTCCTCCATGATAGTATTCATCAGAGTATGACATTGTTGTTCCCATTGTGTGTGGGAGAAATTGTCTTCAGCATGAGTCCACCATCAGTCTACATAAATGTGTTGTCCTGCAGTAGAAGGACAGGAATGGATAAGGGCCGCTGGATGTAGCACTGCGCGATTCTCTCAGACATGCCGTAGTACTTCCTCTGTCCCAAATTAAATGTCCTCTATGACTTTGATGCATCACTTCTCCATCATGAATTCTTCCTTTTTCAATGAAATTTTGTGCGTACGTTTTTCGGTGCATACAGTCAAAATTTCAAGTCAATCTGTCCAGTATTGAGGAATTGGCGGTATGTTGTAGTAAGCGTCCTCCAGCCAGAAAACACCCCTCTTTCCACAACTCTGCGAAAATGGCCGTTCTCGCTGTTTTGAGGAGCGCGCTTTTGCAGTGGCGAAACAGAGCTGCCTATGGAAAACTATCCATGCCATTTGGACAGAAGCTCGGAGAGGTCCTTGCGAAGAAGCAAAGCGGTAGAAAACATGCTTTGGTGGGCTTGATCGTGGAAGTCGCCATGGCTTCGCTGCCCTAATTCGTGATCGATTGGCCAATTTTGGGATGCATATCTGGCCCAGATTTTTGGGCCGCGACCTTTGAACCTTCATCGCTGCTATGAGGGATAAACCGCGCAAGGTCTCCAAGCCCCTCGAAGAGGTGCAAAGGAATGCGACAGCCATCACCCTAATCAATGGCGGATGATTTAGGGAAACGGCTTCCAAGGCGGGATGGAGAAGTCGACCCTTGCATCGACAATAGAAAGGGTGGAACGCAAAGCGAGCGGTCAGATAGCTCGCATAGAGCATGAGCTTGGCCGTTTTGGGTGCTGGCCTTTTCCGCTTGTTGCAAGTCCTTGCATCGGAGATTAGGGAGGGTGGCAATTTCTGCCATCATCGATGCAGTGGCAACGGGCTTGTTCGATGGGGATCTAAACACGGTTGAGCACGTTTGGCAAATGCTATACCATGTGGAGGACATTACCCTTTGCCCCAACGGCAACAATGACTTTGCTTTGGCGTGCCTGGGACGGGCATCACCCAGAACCGCGGATCTCCAATCGACGTCAAATCAGAATGCACAATTTTCACCCAAATCTTAGGCAATTTCAAGGGGGTCCCGAAGGTAATGGGGATGAGTAACTTTTCACAACAATTGTTAGTCAAGGGTTCTCACCTTGTTTCGTATTTTTGAGGCCTTCTTTCTAACAAATTTTGTCCTTCAAATCAAAGACATTTAATTTGGGACAGAGGAAGTAGATGTATGGATCTGCACCCATGTTTGTGTACTTCATCTGGTCAGTTGCATCAGATGCTACATGTCATGTAAGTCGTTGTGTTACCTGCTGTGATTGTGGGAGTTCCTGTTTCCACATCAGAGGAACTCAGGTAGGCGTGGATGCAGCAAGGAATTGGTCCAAGGACGAGCATCATGAGGCTTCAACACGTGCACTTTTGTGCCCTGGCTGTGCACATCCACATTGTGTGCTATTGCCATATCTCGTTTGCTATCGTTGGCATCTTTTCCATTGGTTTCCTTGGCAATGCATGTTGGCCATGGCAGGCTGATCATGGCGTGGTACAGCAGTTCATAGTCGACATACGCACATCCGGAACGGGCGTTAGTCTTGCGCCTGACACTGGTGTCTTATAGACTTGTGAAGACTTGCAAGTGATGTGTTGTGTTGCTGTGCTTTGTCAGACTGTATCAGAGAGTGCGATGCAGGAGCTGCAGATGGAGGCCTTGAAAGATGCTGGAATTCGGCTGGACGACATGGAAGAAATGAGGGGAACAGACCCATTCGAAGACCTGTCCTGGCAGCAGGACGAAGAGAGCAGACTGTACGATTTCAGTCACCCACCCGGCAAGAATGAAAGACGGATCCTAGCAAAGGTGTCCGCAGTCTGCATTCCTTCTCATGGCGATGAACACGTGGGTCGAAGCAAGGGCCGGTCGTTTAGAAACTTGCAGGCTGCTGATCTCAAGGGGCAATGATTGATTGGGGTTGGGTGGGGAATGATAATGAACTGTGTGAGAAGAATATGGTTCGAAGACGCACTTATCAGCACAGCAGATATTGCATTGAACTGATGGCCAAAGGCTTATGTTATTGCCCACAGTACTGAAGGGGGCGGGCTCTGGGGGGAGTGGGAATGATCTCTGTGTGCGCCTACTCATAGTGGTGGGAACGCACTCACATATTCGAAATTGGCTGTTTGGCACCAACGCGGGAACTGAGGATGGGTTGGTTTGTGGGTGGGTGGGGCAGGTGCGCACCACGAATGTGAGCTATTTGTGTTAGGGTACACTGGGGATGGAGCCTAAGGAGGAGGTTGGGAGGAGCACATCGATTCTTGACCACAGGGCTTTTGCTTTGAAGGGTTCTTTGGAGAACCTGTTGTATTGTAGGCGGGGGATTTGGTGCGAGTTTGCATGGAGGTGTGAGGTGCCTCGGTGTGCTGAGCGAAGGACGGGAGATTTGTCACTCAATGTGTTGTTGTAGTGTAGTGGTTATTGAATTCCTACGGGGACGTAGTTAGCTCGTCTCTCCCAGGTAGAGTGGAGCCTGTCGCCTTGGTGGCGCTGCCATGGTTTTGGCGTTTTCCCGTTAGCAGCTGGGGAAAAGCAACATGCTTGTGGCCAGTTGTGGCAAGGGGAAGTCGAATGTCCTTGTGTGTCTCACTGAGTTTTCGTCCCACTGGCGCACTGCTGCGTTGTGCCCTAGGCTACCCTCTACTATGGCACTACGAGATGCCTTTTCCCACGGCGAAACTCTTGCACACAGTTGAACGCCCGAAATGTTTGATCTGATCACCGTCTAGATAATGTAGCCACACTGGTATTCTAGAATGAATAGAGAATCCTCTGTTTAACAGAGCATGTTCCTGGTACTACACTGCTGCACTCTACACTCTATGCTGTTGCATGTGATTCGAGCGCCGTAGCCTGTGTTCAGCAGATTCACACGTTGCAGCATGCAGCACCCAAGTGAGGTTGTTCCTTAGCAGCTTAGCTGCCAGCGTCAACGCCGAGTATCGTCGTGGCATGATGCACGCATGGAAATGCCATGGCTTTAGGTGCACCCATGGAGTTGTTGCGTGGAAGATATGCATTGCATCAAGATCCAGCTGCTCCACAAATCAGGACTCTGCACGATTTGAGATACCATTGCAAGGGCACATGATTCGATGCAAGGCTTTCAACAGTCTACGCCAATGAAATGTTGTATTGCAGGTGAAGAGCTCAGGGCGCCAGTTGCTTCCCGGAAGCTTAACATGTGCACAACAGAGGCGCACAGGGGAATGCTAAGAATATCAGAGGAACAGAGGAATATCACAGGAAACCGCAATTGACTGGATAGGACACAAGAATCTCACAATACTCTTATTGCAGATGAAATATGGAACATCCAAGAGTTCTAGCGCGCTCCATGTCGTCTGTTGCACATCAGTGGTGGACACAAACGAACGAGTTATTCACGTCTACGTTTCATTGGGCCCAAGCGCCAACGGAACGTGAATCACAAGTTAGCATTTGCGTTGCACGAATCCAAACATGACCTGTTTCCTTTCTCAACATACAAACGCACCAAACAGGTTTACGTTTGCGTTTTGAAAATTCAAACGTGTTCAACACGTATTCAAACACGTGTTCAGAAGTACTGCACCTGTTTACGTTTGCGTTTTGGTGGTGTACGCCCGTGCCTGATGCACATTGGCTGCTCAACGTTGCCAGCTGCGGTTTCCTCATAGTCTTGGCTGCATGGCTGGAAAATGGAGTAGGAAACATGCGGCGCCTGAGGTGCTTTCCTGTGGAAATCTCTCCGATTGAATTGAATTCTTGGAGCGAGTGTCCAGCACCTCTGAAACCTCCAACACAAGGCTCCCACTGTTAAGCGTGCCCCTTCGCTTTGTTGCTACAGTATAGTACCGGGACTCACTCCGAGCTAAAGTTAACTCCCCATCCATACCACGTCTAAATCGAACTTCCGCATGGCAAAAGCACGCCCTCCAAAAAAACTCCAGTGGGAGGAAATGCCCGCTTTCGGGACACGCCAGTTCCAGATACAGACCACACATTCGGAGGCGGTAAGAGACGGAGACGAGTCAGGATTGGGCTGTCGGGCGTTAGGCTAGGTTTTGAGCGGCTGGGCATTAGGGTTTCGGGCACGCACACAGAGGGCCACTGTAAGCGTGGCTGGATCAACGACCGTCAGGCGACAGAAACGGACGAGTTCTTGAAGAGCGCGACGGGATCGCCGGTGCATGATGAAGACGACGAGAAGGCTTCGAAGTGAGAGATTGATACGCTGAGACAGAAAAGGCATGAGAACGAACGGCGTGTGCGAGAGGGCGAGAGGCACCGCAAGATAGGCTGGAAAATCCACGCTGGGCACAGCCGCCATGTGTGTTCCTCACACACCTTGACGAGCAAACTCACTCCAGAAAAGGCCAACACGCCCGTTCTCCTGCACGAATGTTCAGTCCATCTCCTGGTGCTTTAGCCAGTGCTGATGTGTGAGGCAGATGATGCAGCAACTTGTTGACAGGCTTCAATTTTCTGTTCAGAGGCAGCTGTACAGCGAGCGTACATCTGATCGGCAGGTTGATGAGCCCAGCGATCAAGACCCTTCGTGCCTGATACAACCCTCCCAAGGAGGCGATCGTCCAAACGTCAAGAAGCTTTTATAACAGGGATAACGCGAGCACTTCCCACATAGTTTTGGAACAAAACTGCCGGACCACACCGAGCTCCCCCAGATTTATCAAGAGGCATCTGACTCACCTGCCAAAGCATATACTTCCCTACTTCGCAAGCCACTCAAGAAAATCCTAAGTACATTCAATCCTTGGCCATCATGGGCGGGAGGAATTGATCCAGGCCCATCTCTACTACCCGATGTAGTTCCAAACAACAAGGAACAGAAATGCATTCGCAAGCACGTAGTCAGCAAAGGCGCGCTCCGGCGATATGTGTTTGAATTCCTTGTTTGTGGGGTCCACCTGCATCCGTAAGCAAACTGGCACAAAGCAACAGTGTCAGAGTGCAAACTGGCAAAACAGCCCCAAAATTCTGCACTTGCCAAAGCGTTTGAAGGCTTTACATTTGGCATCTCTTGCAGTTTGGCAGATATGGTTTGAACAATCAGACAATCATATACTGCAACAATCAACAACAACCAGACTTCAGTTCCTCCACATTTAAAGCCAAATCTTGACTGCCATGCAGGCCAAGGAGGGAACTGATATGATTGCAGCAGCTGCTGCTGCCACGACCATTCCAGTCCCTCAGGGCAAACAGAGGGAGCAAACTAATCTTGTCTAGAAGGCACTGTGCAGCATACCTGTGAGAACAAAGACACCAATGCAGCAGAAGAAGCCTGCCAGAAAGGCGTTGAAGGGGAAGGTGCCCACAAGCATCATGTACAGAAACTGCATAAGCACATGCAACACTTTGGTGACCATGGGTGCACATGCGCAGCATAGCATCTGTGGGCTGTGTGTCCCTACTTCCAGGAAGCCTGTGGGCTGCACAAACACTATCCAGACGAGCAAAAATGACAGCTGTGGTGTAACACCAACATGGGTACTTGCATTTGTTATGCAGGTCCTTACAAACGGAAGAACAAACATACCAGAGCTGCCACACAAAGAATTACACGTACATGGAAGTGAGCACTTGGCCTTTCAGTAACACCCCATGTTTCAATCACATCGCCAAAGATCTCACACCCCTCCCCTGCCCTGCGCCCCCTGCCTTGCGTCCCTAATATCCTAGTGAATTCCTTGGGTTGCAGGTCCACACAAAACAACACCCAGCATTGGAATCTTTTAGGTGATGAAGAGCATAAAAGCACACACAAACATTGTTCCAATTGCTTGTCGGCATCCAGACGTGACAAAATGAAACGACCAGGAGCAAGGAAGAAAGTGCACCACTGCCTGCTGAAGTGGCAGATGAACCAGGGCAGGCATGGCATCACCGTACGCAGGACTACATGCTGCTGCCTATCTTTTCTAAGCAAGCCCCAGGGACAGCTGTGAACCATTTTTCCAGCGGTCGCGCCGCGAACACCACTTTCCAAGGGAAGGAGGGGCGCCACCCACCTGCACACCAGCAGTGGCGAGGGCGTAGAGGATGAAGCAGTCAAGCATCTGCGAAGCAGGATGGGAAACCGTAAACAGGAATGGGAGAGACCTCTCCTGGAAACGGACAGGGCAGTGCCCAGACCCATACAACGGGCCCAAGTCACCGAAGCAAGCGCCAGTGCGGTTGATGAAACTGTGCGTCGAAAACAATTCGCTGCATTGGCCACTTTCAGCTCTGCACTGTAGGACGCTCTTAGATCGAGAGGAGTGGGAACTCGTGCGACGAGATTGATTCTGCAAATTTTGCAGGGCGGGTTCGCTGCGATCCGAGGGAGACAGCAAGCACTTTCGCTCCTCGCGGCCGCAGGTGTTGCGACAAGCTGTGCCCACCTTCATTTTCACCGGGGTCTTCTTGTATTCCTCCGCGAAGGTCCTCGCTATTGCTTTGACAGACTCCATTGCTCTCGACGGGGGGGGGGGATCGCAAACTTCGGGTCTCTGTCGCAGCAGCAACTGGATTGGGCCCGAATCCACCCTGACCAGAGTGAGGTCTCCAAGTATTAGCCACCAACACACCCACCCAGCCGTTGCTGATCCGTTTGAGATGCTATCAGCTGCAAGGTTAGCCCCAACCTCGCAAAACCCAGGGCAGACCGCATCAGCAAAATCTAGGGAACGTTGGAGCTTTGTTCTGTTTGTTTTGCAAAATACTCACTGTGAGGATAAGGAAAATGTGTATAAATAGTTAAGTGAGTGTGGTGCATCGGATACGGTGTTTATTACGGTGACACGGAGAATGATGGGAAAAGATATGAACTGAACACGCTTGCGGTGAATGCTACATGACAGACAGAACCATTCTGTAATCCATCTGGTTGCGGTTTGCTTCCCGTGCCTGGGAGCGACCGTGTGTGAGCGCGAGCGAGGAGCGCGAACAGTGAAACCACATAACATGGTTTCGGAGCCCAGGTCGCGCCGGTCGTGGAGACCGGCCTGGCGAGCCTGGTGGATCTGCTGGCTTGTCTTGCTGGCACTCGAGCCGGGGATTGAGG